CCTGGCGTATGCCCTTCCCAATTTTGGACCATGCAGTGTTCCCTTGCTCTGTTCTGACGACTGCCTCCTGGTCCAAGTATAGGTTTCGCATTAGAACGATCAAGTATTCTGGGATTCCCATTCTGAGAGTCAGTCACAGTTTGTTATGGTCTACACAGTCAAACACCTTTGCATAGTCAATGAAACACAGATAGATATTCCTCTGGTATTCTCTACTTTCAGCTAAGATCCATCTAACATCCGCTACAATATCCCTAGTACTATGACCCATTCTAAACCCAGTCTGAACTTCTGGTAGTTCTCTGCTGATGTGCTGTTCCAGTCTTAAATTCTTTGTGGAACAATGAATGCAGAGCTAGTACATATTTTAGTATGAGGCCACGTGGGGGGAAAAGCAAGAACTGGGATCTGCAGAGGCAGATTTGAGTTCCAAGCCAGTCCACCAAAGTTAGCAGGAATGACATGTGAAAAACTAGGCCTGGCATCTATCTGTTGCGCGTTAGATTTTTAGTTCTGCCTTGTTTCCTACAGTGTGGCTTTAAGATAACCTATTAAGGCCTATTGGATTTCTGTGTAGGAAGATGGAACTCATTTAAAAGGACGTAGAGATGATTACAATTAATGCAATTAAAGTGGCTGAATTGTACATTTAAAAACTATTATGTCAATGGTTACATTCTATAATTTTCCTACAATTTAAAAATTGTAACCTAAGCTATCCTGATAAGCACATCTGAATTAATTGGTTGAAAAATATACGTAATGTTTAGTAGGTTTTGCCCTATTCTAGCACCTGCAGAAGCTCCTTCCTCTCTGGCAGCTCAAACCTTATCAGTTAAGTTCACAATTAACTGGCTGCAGCTTACCTGCCGTTTCTAGAAAATGATCTTCATTCTGGTTACTATAAAATTATCATCTAATTAGCAAAAGACATCAAAGCATGAAGATGTGGCTCTGTTGTCTGATTCTATTTAGACTGAGTGTACTGAGTGTACTCTCTTAAAAATGAAGCTATTCAGCATACCCATGTTTATCGTGGCTTTGTTCACAATAGTAAAGGGTTGAAAACAACCTATGTGCCCATCAGCACACGAATGGATAGAGAAGCTGTGGTATATTCACACAATGGAATATTATGTAGCATTGAAAAACAAGGAACTCATGAAATAGTATACAAAATGGGTGACCCGAGAGGACATTATGCTCAATGAAATATCTCAGTCACAAAAGGGTAAATACTGCATAATGCCACTGTTGTAAAATGGGACTGACATCGGGGTTGAGGGGAGACTGAGAAATATGGGATAAATTATGTATACTGCATTGAAACAAAAGAGGGAGGAAACTGTTTAAAAGGGGTATATGATTAGGTATTTTTGTCATGACAGGAGTCCAGAACGAAGGCTGCATAGTGGAGCGGACTGGGGGTGGGGGGGGAGGGATTGTAAAACAATGAAAGAATTTTTCTTTTACTTTTCAAAGAGAAGAATGAACTGGGGGAAGGGGTGGACAGGGGAAAAGTGCTACAATGAATGAATGGAAATCCAAAGTCTGTAAATTTTCATTAAAATTAATAATAAAATTTTTAAAAGTGCGAGACAAGAAAAAAACAAAAACTGTTCATTGTATGTGTATAAGGAAGGAGCTGCCCTGCCAGCCAAACTCAGGTGCTTGGGAGAAAGATGGGAATTCTCCTCCTCTGCAGTTGACAGCCTCTGAAAATGTGCTAGAGGGTGAGCGAGGAGTCACTTCTGATTCTCCCACAGTAAGTGAGTGAGTGAGTGAGTGGTAACTATTGGAGTTGTAGATAAAGCAAAAGATTCAACAACTAATTGAAAGGTTGGCAGCTCAAACTCATCCACAGATGACTCAGAAACAGCCCCGGGAGACTGTTTGCACAAAGTTACTGCCTTGGGAGCCCTCGGGGATGTAGTTATACTCTCTCTGCACCGGGTCAGCACAAGCCTATAGTTCCATCTGCGACACATGGGGTTCCAGTGAGACGGATTTCGACACAAATAATTTGGTTTGGTTTTGATCAATAGCATCACTTATGAAGGCTGAATACTTGTGTGTCAAAGGGTCAAGGCTCTTTCCAACCAAGAAATCAACACACTGGTAGCTGGTAGTAGAAATTCGAAAGGAATGCATGCTTAATCCTTGTATGCATGAGGATAATCTGGAACAAGGGGTGCATTGCGGAGTGGGTTAGAGGAGGGAGAAGAAGAATGGGAGAAAATGCGCAACAATTAGTTTAAAAACTAAACGCAAAAATTTTTAAAAATATATTTTGTGCATGAAAATATGTGCTTCCTGTTCTAAGCTTGCTGCCACTGTCTGTTTCTCCTTCAGCCTTGTAGTGGTGCCTGGGAATCTGCATCCTGTGGAAAGACAGAGGATCAGATGTCAGCTTCCAGTCAGGCCCGGAAATATGTGAACACATTCTCAACCCGGACTCTGGTCATGTGAGACATTTCCAGACAAGCATTATGATTTTCAGAACACTTCAACTTTCCCTGGGATCTGCTGTTCCTTTGCATGAAACTTTTCATAAATGGGAGAAGAGCTTATTTTTGTTGTGGTACAACAGTTGAGAGCAGCACAAAGTGCATTTAGTTGGCAGAAATCTTGGATTTCCACCAACTGAAAGGATTTTTAAAAATAAATAACAGTCTTACCTAAATTGTTAGGTAATGAATTGTCGTCAGTTGTGAATATCTTAATGCAGACTTTTTTTAAAAAAAATTAAAATGATTTATGTGTATTTTATAAGATCCAGCAAACCAGTATTTTCTCCTGTGATAACTTCTTTGAATTTTTATATTAAAAAAGGTACTTCACGATTTCACTTTTTTCAATCACTAAACACAAATACATTGTTTAAAAAATCAATCTAATAAGCATTACTATAAATGTTGACTTCATAACATGATATAATTAACCAAGATTTCAAGTGTTCATTTATGGTTAATAACATTTGGAGGTACATTTACTGTACTAAAACCATTTTATGGGATTTTTTTGTTAGCTTGCTTTAAAAATTATTACTGTATGAAATAGTTTTATAAAAAAATTATATTTTTATTCAGTAATTTAATTTTGTAAATGCCAAATGAAAACTGTGTTTTGCTGCTATGGTCTTAGCCTGTAGACATGCTGCTAGTTTCAGATGGGGCAGTAGAGCTTTGTTGGAAAAGAAAAGAAACTTGGTGTTAGGTAATTGACTATGCACTAGTATTTCAAACTTTTTTATTTTTATATATATATATGTGTGTATACACATTATATTTCCCTTTTGTAAGACATTGGAAAAACTTGTTTGGGAGATTTATTTTACATTTGTTGTTTTTTGTTCTTCTTGGTTCCTAAGAGCATGCATTGCACTTCGTTGATTGGGAGATCTATGTTGTTGACGTTCTATGTTTTGTTTTGAGTTCAGCCTGACTGCTCTTAAATCTGGGATTGTGAGGGGATCATATTCATGGTTTCTACCCCGATAGTCTCAGAAATGCTCAGAGTCTGTGTTAGAAGCTGGGATAGGAAAAACCTAGCATTGATAGCCTGTTGCTGCCTTAAGAACATGTTGGTGGAAGATGGTTGAATTTTTGATATGATGGTCTACTGACTGCCTTTTAGAGAAATAAAATACTTTTTTTACTTATTTTTGACTTCTTGTTTACTTGTGTTTGTAGACAGTCATCATACCCTTTTTTATAGCATTTTTAAAAATTTTATATTGGTTTGCATACAAAATTCATATGCATTGTGTTTCACATATTCCTTCATTCACACTGTGTTTCAACCATTTTAAGAAAATGAAGGCACCTCAGGGCAATTACATTTCACAGTTGCTGACCCCAGTATGAAGAAGTCAAGACTTTTTGTTTGGAGAAAGAAGAGCAGATAAACTAAGTTCAAAGTAATCAGGGACCAAATGACAACTGAGAGCCCTTCTTCCGGTCAGGTCCAGCCAGGGTTTCAACAGTGTTCCTACTAGGATGCTGCCAGGAGAGTTCGTTTATAAAGAGACTGGTGCCAGAGATGTGAGCACATGTGAGCAAGGTGTAACCATGCAGCTTAGGCACTGGGACAAAGGCCTCTTTGGAACTGCCTCCTGGAGTGGGAGACCTCGAGTGGAATTGAGGTCTCTGGCAGAATACTGCCACTCAAGATGACCTCACAGACAGAGAGCCAGAGGTAAAGGCTTTATTCCTCCCACCCTCACTCCTGTTATTTCTCCCGCCATTGCCTGGGTTCCTTACAGGCAGAGTAAACTGGAAGCACTCTGATGTCAGCCAGATATTTGCCTTGTAGGACAGAAATCTCTAGGTGGTTCTTGAGGGGCAAGAGCATGCTGTCCCAGCCCAGTGACCACTCAGTCCAACTCGCCTATTTTACAATTGAATCTCCACTGACTTCTAGCCCTCAGCTCAGCATCTACTTTCCTATGTTCCAGTCCCTTATCATTTCCTTTGGCCATTCTATTCCAACTCAGATTTTGGATTCCCATAAGTATGATGTTAAATACTTGGGATCTGTAGAGCCATGGGTTTTTTTTTTTTGTTTTAATTTTCAACATATTACTAGTTTTTATTATTGCTTACCATTTTTTGTTCTTCTGATAGATTATAAAATCACCCTAATTGGTGTTTGAGTTGCATGTTAAGAAGGTTTTATGGGATTCTTTTTACTCTTCTGGATTTTTTTCCCAGATATTGACTCTACCACTTAGAAGAAATATGAACTTAGAAAAGGTACTAGTCTCTCTGATCTAGTCTTGTTTGACTTATCTGTGAAATGCATCCAGCCAGACCTAAAATGAACTGCTGTTAGGAGAGGCATTCTATAATCTCTGTTATTCCATGCTCACTCCATAATTAAACGATGCAGGCCATACAGTGTGCTGGATGCTCATCCAGTAGATGATGTGCACTGTTGAATGCCAAGTTAAACTTGGGGTCACATTAAAATTTTTCAACTAAGCTAATGGCAAGAGTGAACTAAAAAATAGACAGTACTAAAGCAAATATTTACTTTGCTAACAAGTATGTTACCCAATAGCTCCAGACTCAATACCTAAGCTGATTAAAACTATAAGAAGTATAAATTTTGATTTTACATACAAATATATTTCATAATAATCTATAAGACATGTGTTTTACCTGGTAATTTTTTTTTTTTTAGTTGTTGAGTCCCGAGTCAGAACTGACCCATGACTGACCCTCCAGAAGGTTTTCAGACACAGTTAATTACATGGGTGTAGATTGATCATTCTTCTCCGGCAGAGCAGTTGGTAGATTCAAACCACATGACTTTGGGATTGCAGTCAGTTTCTTACCACTGTTGTTGTTGTTGATTGCCTTCAAGTTGAGCACGACTCAAAGGGACCCTATGAACAAAAGGCCTGAAGCCTCTCTTCCAACTATCGACATTTATCAAAGTTCATAGTCACCAGATCTCCCTTCTCTTTACCATAGGGTTACATATAGTACAACAAAAGGAAATTATTTCTCACTTAAATAGAAAAGTGTCCTTTTGAGTTACTCCTTTTTGAGCTCATATTCACATATGTACATGTGGAGGACAGGAAGAACATGGAAGGGACTTCAAACTGATTAATTCAAGGTGATAAGAATATGTTTAGAGGACAGATGATTTGGGGTTTTTTAAGAAAATACACAATATTAGAACAGAAAGAGGATTAAGGAACTTCCTAGAACAGGGTTTTAGCTTTGCTATGTAAGAGGAAAATCACTCTTGGGGCTTGGCCAGCCTTAGTTTGAATTCAGAGTTTGCCCTTTTCCAACTGTGATTTTTGTATGGGTTTACTTACTCTCTATAAGCTTCATTTTACTTACCTATAAATTTGAGATATAATTACTCCTCAAGGTTGTTAGTAATATGAATATACATGAAATAGCAAATGCATTATTGCATCTCTGTCAATTGTTCCCAAGGGTAGTAATTAAATAAATTACAGCAATAACTTACAATAGCTCAGAAAAAAAACACACTCCAACACATGCCTATTACCCAGCAAAGGAGAAATGATTACCCAGCGCCCCCCATCACTAATTGTGAGTTAACTCTGAAGTCTGTGTTAAAACTAATTCAAATCTAAATTATATCTTCTCAAAATACGCCTTAACTATTCACACATATATTTAAATATGTGCATGGGTTTCTCATTCTTGAATAAGTATATATCAGAAATATGAGGCATATTTTCCTTAAATTTGTTGGCTTCTAATAAAAAAAGAGAGCATTCCCTCGTGTGCAGTATGTGCTATGCATGTCTTACTCTGCACTTGTATGTTCATGAATTTGGTGTTTATCCTGGTCATAGTCAGGTAGTGCTGCTATCACAGAAATATCACAAGTGAGTGACTTTGACAATCAGAAATTTATACTTTCAAAGTTTAGGAGGGTAGAAGTCAAATTCAGGGTGCTGATGCTCGAAGAAGGTTGTAGGGGAAAGTTACATCACCAAATGAAGGTCAGTCACACAATACTCTGAATGGTGGGTGGCCTAAATAAGTTGACACACATTTGGAAAGACATAATATTAAATTCATGACAGCATATTCTTTTTCTTTTAAGTTAATCACATATTTTTATTGATTTGTATACAACCACTGAGTTTCATGCATGCGTGTTATGTTTTATACCATCTTTCATTTACATTGTATTATGCTCATGTATATTGTGTGGTTCTCCCCCCCTTTACAATTATCTTACTGATAACTACATTCATGAAAGCATGTAAGTCATGCCTCATGCCTTAAGATCCCCCTTTTAGATTGCACATTTCTGAGCCTAATGGTAAGAAGTTGTGCTACCATCCCAAGGTCACGCGGTTCAAATCCACCTGTGTCATCTGCTCTGTGGGAAAAGGATGAGCAATCATCTCCCATATGATTTATTGCCTCTGAAAATCCACTGGGGGGGGTCAGTTATGCATCGATTTTGATTCAGCAGCAAACAAGAACTTCAAACCGGTACTTGGAGGGAGGAAGCATATCCCTTTTGCTGAAGGATCATCTGTTCTATTTGGAAACTTTGAGCATCTTCATCTGAGTGAAAGGACCAACAGGTCTGGAGTGCAGGGAGAAGTGTAGACTCCTGCGCTCATGGTTGATGACCATTTGAATCTAGCCATAGATGGCTTAGAGGGAATTGTCCAGAACCCAAACAAATGAAAAGAAGATGATCCATGCTGTGAGCTCATGTTGACTGATGCAACCTGATGGCTTGCTCTGGACGGTCTGTTATTTGGCCTTCAAAAGTCCATATCCTTGTTATATACAAAACACCTTCATCCCATCATCTCATCCCCACAGTTGTTAATTGACTTCAAATCAGAGAATCTTTTCTTCTTAATCATCTAAATCAAATATGTGTGACACATTAGGTACATTCTATCCTGGAGGAAAATTCTTCCTATGTGAACATGCAAACTTAGAATACAAGTTATCTGTTACCAACGGTAGAACAGGTACAAGGTAGATATTTATGTTACAAATGGGAGAAACTGAAGGGAAAGAAATTATAATGAGCATCAAGCAAGTATAAAACTCAGCAGAACGATCGATTTACATTAGCTCTCAAAGCTTGAAACCAATCCTCAGTTATCTGGGAAAAACTAGGAAGTGACCTTAACCTACAGACTCAAAATGTTGACTATTTTCTGGATTCTGACCCTTAGCTTCAAATCCTTCACTCTGGGCTTCAGCTCTGTCATCTAGGCCAACTCTAAAAACGATGATGCTTCCTTAGCTTTGAGTGGCTCCATTCTCTTGGTCAAGTGAACTCTAGACACATCCCCACAGCCCCAGAAATCCTCATTCTTCTGACTTTTGGGTGTTGCAACCTTGTCCCTCCAGCTTTGGGTTGCACCCCGCCTCCATCATATATACAACTCCATAGTCCAAAATGAAATTGGACAAGATAGATTCTTTGCAACCTAGGAGGTTGTGGTCTCAACCTTTTGAGGTTCAGTGTACTGTGGCTTAAGCCTTTGACATCAAGAAAGCCCTGATTTCATGCTCCTTTCAACAGTGCTGTTGATTTTCCTATAGTTTAGAAGACTGGAAGTCAGAATTCAGGATGCTGGCTTAAGTGGAAAGTTCTAGCTCTGTATTGGTTCTAGGCAGAAAAAATGCTTGTGTCATTCAGCATCTGTAAGCTCAATATTCCTTGACAGATTTCCATATGTTTTATCATCAAACTTACTCTGGGTCTAGGAGGTTCTAAGCACACTCCCAGCTCTTCTTTCTTGGTGGCAATAGGTCTGATAATTTTTCTTCGTCTCTTGTAAAGATGGTACAGGACATATCTCAGTGAAATTCTCTTTACATCAGATCAGAATTATGAATTAAATTGTAATTTATTTGACTCATAGCTGACCCTCCAGAGGGGTTTGAGAGGTGATAAGTTGCCTCAAAGGAGATTGGCCATCTTACTTCTGTGGAGCAAGTGTAGATTCAAATCAGGTAAGGGTGATGCATCCCAATCTAATCCTGCCTCAGACTTCATTAATGTAACAAACATAACTAAATTGTATCTAACATAAATTAGTCTTGATACACTAATCCCAGGCAGAGGTTAAGGTTTTCAATCATTATGAAATAGAAGTTAATTATACC